AAAGTTACGTTTTCGTTGACGTAACTACACATTAGCACGAAGGGGACGTGATGCTAACATTTTTAACTTTTCATTTTAATTTTTTATTAAATTTCCTTAACCATTTGAGATATATATATTATAGCCACAAATTTGCTAAATAATGAGTATGCCAAGAAGAACATGCCCCAAACTTAATAAATACAAAGTTTTATCGTCAAAATATGTATTAAGAGGATGTTTAACAAACAAAATAATTGACGTAATTCTTCCAATATTTTTCAACAGTTGAGAGAAGAGTGCGATTTAAAAAAGAAATAAAAAGCACAGTGTTTGACAATGTTCAACAATATGTCTGTCTTCAAGTTGTATTTAAACAATTTTTTCAAGTATAAAAATATATAAATCTACAATTTTTGAACAGTGATATATTTTTATACTTGAAAAAATTATTTAAATATAACTTGAAGCCATACATTCTGAGCAATTTTTTATTATTAAATTATATTTTGATCCTTTTTTAGAAGGTTCCAAATTTTGATAAAAAATTTTGTTTTTCTTGCATCGGCGCGGGGAACCAAAGATTAGTATAGGAAATTATAGCGTCTTTTATGTGGTGAAAATATATTGATTTGGAAATTCTTGCAAATATCAAATAATTATCGGGTTACAATGAAACTTTCAGGATTTATTCACAGATGAATTAAATTATTTTAGAAATGCTCCTTTTTTTTCTTTTTTTTTTTACAAAATCTTGATAAAAACATTTTTTTATATGTCACCCCCCAACCGCCACTTATTTAATTTCATGAAATTTCGAGAAATTAATTTTATACCATATAATTTTTATATTTCTTATATGCAGAACTCCTTGGAGAATTAGAATCATCCTGTTTTTTTTGTTTGTTTGTTTGTTTTGTTTTGTTATTTTTTGTTGTTGTTGTTGTAAAATAGACATCTAGCTACCGAAAATCTGGTCTGAATCGTAAAGTAAAAATACAATACAATTAAAACAATTTTTAATTAGAAAAGCTTTTTATTGCTATTATGAATAAGACATATTATGAATACTATTATCTTAAGAAAAACTTTTTTCGATGAATAATTAATTTTTACAAGAACTGTCTTCAGTTTGTTTTTTTAAATTTTACTTAGAATAATTTATAAAGTATTCAGTCTTTTAAATTTCTGTATTAATTTGTATCTGTTAAGTGAAACTTTTATTAAGTAAAAAATATATTTACCCATCATAAATGTAAAAACTTACAATTAAGCTACCCCCAATATTTTAAAAAGAATTTTGAAATTTTATGTGTGTATAAACGTGCCGTTTTTTTTTCCATACACGAGATTATAAAAAAAAAGTGGGGGTGATGAAACTAGTAAATTTAAAGCCGAAGTACCTAAAATTCAGTAAAGTATTATATTACAGAAAATATTGGGTAGTTAAAGATTATATACAAAGGGCCGCCACGTTATATTCCTCACGTAATTTTTACAGATATATCTCCCGTAGAAAAAATTAGATAAACATCCGGCTGTCAGCCAGGCTGTTATTTTGTCAACACCTTAAATAAACACCTACGATCGTATTAAATTAAGCGCATTACTAAAAGTAATATTTGTTTCAAACCAGGTTAATTAAAATTTAAATCAGCTAATATTCATTAAAGTTTCAGGAAAGTATATTTTATTTTTGAAACATTTTTAATAAAGAGAATTGTGCTGACAGATCACTAAATGTGACATTAAATCAGCTATTTTTAGCGATTAAAAAGTCCTTCCAGCCAATTCAAATTAGTTTTGAAATACAGTAAAATATTTTGCTTATCGGAAATATTAAATTTATTTCATTAACTTCAAGAAAGATTTTTTATTTTTTAAAATTAATTTTACACCTCAGGTATTGCGTTTCTTTTGAGGTACTTACATATATATACGTTATCTCTCACCTATAGCTCGACTCTGAGTTTCATGCACAACGCCATATTCAGGTGCTGAGTATAGACTGACCGTTACATAATTTAAATTTTAATAAAAATATCTGGTTATCGCAATGTTGGCGCACTTCTGTATTATTCTGAGATTACAGTTTTTATAATTTGAAAAATGTATTTAGCATTTAAAATAAATGGGAATTGCATATATATATATATATATATATATATATATATATATATATATATATATAATATAATAATAATAATAATAATGGACTCTCCCGTCGGTTTCGACGTATGAGGATCTGCCAGCTTATTGATTCAGTTATGAAAGATTATGCGATAATCTTAAGTGGCATTTAAGACCCGCTAGTGATTTACAAAGGAGGCCACATATGGAGCAAGTGTGAGGATTGTGAAATGAGATCACTGTTAGATTGACTGACCTTTTAGATCTTGCTCTCGCTTCTTGAAGATGATTCAGACAAGCAGATTGAAAATTGCTGAGTCCACTAAAACACGTTGTTCTCCATTCTACCCGCTCCAAAGCTAAGCGCTCAAGGGTGTTATGTGGTATATTAACTGCTGACAAGTTGCTTTTCAACTTGTCTTTGTATCTTAGCCATGGGCGTCCTATATTCCTGTAGCCCTGATCTAACTGGCTGTACATTAGGATCTTGGGTATCCTGTCATCAGACATTCTCAAGACATGACCACTCCAACGTAACTGAGACTGTATGATAAAAGTCTCGATTCCTCCAATATTACACCTGTTAAACAGGTCTACGTTAGATGTCCTATCTTGAAACTTAACTCCACACATTGCACGCAGACAGCTTTTATGGAAAACATCTAGCTGGCGTATATGGTACCTGTATCGAGTCCATGACTCTGAGCCATACAAAAGGATGGCAAGTACAACAGCTCTGTAAACCTGAATTTTCGTATCCAGTCGAATATCCCGCTCATTCTACAAGCGATGGCGAAGTTTGCCGAAAGCACTAGTAGCCTTAGCAATCCGATGCATGATTTCATCATCTAAAGTTCCACTTTATAATTATATATATATATATATATATATATAGATTATCTTAGAGATATGAATTTTTTTTTATATTAAGCCTAAAGATAGATTACTTGTTTTTATTTCTTTAAGCAAAACAAAAAAAAAACCGTCATTTACATTCAAAATTACTCTGGATCAACGTATTTAAGCAGATATTTATTTTTATGCCTACATGTAACCACCAATTCATTTCTCTTGTCTAATAAGCTAGGGTTTTTTTAAGTGATTTAAGAATTTTCAACAAAACATAAATTACATTTATTTCCTTTTTAAGATTTGGTTCTCGCTACAATATCCTAGGTGATAAAAGGTGTATTACCATCATTCTTCAATTTCCAGAAATATTTAGAGAGAACAATGTTGTTTTTGCATTTTATATTGCCTAAAGTCATTCGATGATGGTAAAACGCAATTTCCAAGGATTTTCAGTGGAAACAAAATAAAATTTAACAACGCTACCGGAATGTATGCAAGTTTGGTATACAATATTATCAGTTATATATTTTTCCCTTTAAAGGAGAGATTTTTTTCGATAGTTGCATTTATTTATTTATTTTTAATTAACTTTGAAAATATATTTGATATAATATTGCCTTTGTTTGGATATAGGTATATCGATTTTATTAACGAAGCTTTAGCTAATCTTAACATTATTTTTGTTATATAAGGGTGCGACAAAAATAAACGAATATACAAAATCCAAACACCATATCCCTTGTATTATTATTATATTTGGAGGTGTCGAAAAGTTTTCGCGTCCAACCAAGAAATCCTCCCAAATAGAATTCTGCTCTTTTGTTATTATGTCATAATTTGAGATGTTCGTAAGTTCTGTTTTCATTTTAGTTTATTTTGTGATAATGAGCATAACTAACTCGACACGTAACAGATTAAAGTTTGTATCGTCAGTCGTCGCCTTTTTCATCTGAACACAACGTGCAAATCATCTCAACGGAAACATGAAAACCGAGAAAAGTAACTGACGATATTTTAAGTAGGTAACTAGTTTATAAGAATCTGTACTCACATTTGACTAATTTTTAGCAATTAGACTACAGATGTCAATGTGGCTTAAGCAACTCCGAAAAAAAAAAAAACCCAAAAAAACTTTAAATTAAAGAAAGAGTCCTTAAGTACTTCATTTTATACTGTACTTAAGACTTCTACCAATTCTGATAGTTTTCTTATATTAAAATGTTTTTTTCTTTTCTGTTAGATCCCAACATAAAAAATTTAAACAACTGGCATACTTAAGCCACCCGAGTAACAATCAAAATCCTAAGTTGTTAATGTAAAAAAAAACATGTACGTCCACAAAGAAGAATGTAATGAGTTAATTTACAATTAAAAAAAATCGTTTGTCTCCCTGTTTTTAAGCGGATTATGTGTAGGCTCACCTTTGCAAATTTTCTGTGAGTTACAGACCCGCTTGTTTTTCTGAAGTCTGCCCTACAGTTCCATCGAAGCGATACTTCTTTGGCGACCATCTTGAAGCAATTCAGGTTGCAGTAATACAAGAAAATGAAGCCCTAATAAAAAGCGTCCGACAACTTCCCTCCTGAAGCGGACAAGTCAGGAAACAAGACCCAAGAAAAATATGATTGATGAGACACTGGCACGGCCGAGCGGCCATCAAACTATTTAAAGGTCAATAAACACACTTCCCAATCAGTTTTCCAACCCGGGCGATGACGTGACCATCAAGTCGAAAAATTTCTCTCCACATCCCCCACCACCAACAAAATTCGATGAAAAATAGCATCGCATTGAAGAAGATGATGGGCCTTATTATTATTTATATATACATACGCCGAGGATCAGGTGAGGGATGATATAGCAAACGCTGAAAAGTCTACGATGTCCAGTAAATTGTGGTCGATAAAGAAAAAATGTAGAAAGTAATAAGTAAAGCAGATGAGAGTAACAGAATAAAAGAGAATAAGAAAGTCTGAAACTGTGCTTTCCATGGCAAGATAAGAGGTTTTCCACGAACGTGAAGTGCTTGGGTACCCAGGTTAAAAACGAAAGAGAGGGAGAGTGAAAGAGCAACAAACAAGAGAGTATGTTGGTGTGAGATAACTTGAGGGGGAGAGGAAATGAGAAGGAAGAAAGAAAGAGGGTCTTAACATAGAAGACATGGAGAAAGAAAAAAGTATTGACACACGCAAACGTATGCAAATGTGAAGCTATTTGCGGTGGGTTGGAGTAGCAATGTGTTTGCACTAAGTTCGATTATTGAGTACGGAGGGGGGATAGGTAGGTGAATGACCGTTTTAGGATTCTGATGCGTGTTTGGCATGCATTTTTTTATGTATATGCGTTTTATCTCATAAATTATGCAACATCTCCATATTGAATGTGTGCGTATATATATATATATATATATATATATATATATATATATATATATATATATATATAAGACAGTTAGCCATAAAGGTATAAATACAGGCACAGATATCGAGACAGATAGATATATATATTTGAGGTGCATCAATAAATCTAGAGCGTGACACACACAAACCCTCGAACGAAATACATATATATAATCTTTGCGACCTTTACAGTGACCAATATCGGTTATAGAGCCACTACAAGTCAAACTGACAGTAGTGCCAAAGAGCTTGCGAAGACTGGGATGGGGTAAACTTTGACTAAATCAGTATGACACACATACTCGCGTGCGAAAACTGAATGCACTCTGGTCGTGTTCGTAGATGTTGTAGTTTTATACACACACACACACACACACACATATATATATATATATATATATATATATATATATATATATATATATATAAAAAAGAACATTCGGGCAGTTTTTATATAATTTATCATCTGAAAAGAAAAAAGTTATTAGATCATATGAGAAATTGTATAAAAAACTAAAAGTACATTGTCTGTCGTATTCAATGAAATGTGCATGAAAGAAGGATTGCTGCCTAAATACACAAATAAATAAATGTGTGTGTGTGTGTGTGTGTGTGTGTGTGTGTGTGTGTGTGTGTGTGTGTGTGTGTGTATTTAGGCACCAATCCTTCTTTCATTTAGTTTTTTATACTATTGTTCGTATGATCTAATTTTTTTTCTTTTCAGATGAAAAATTATATAAAAACTGTCCGAATGTTCTTTCTTTCCGTGCGTTTTCGGCTATACATTTAGCCATTTTCAGGGATGGAATATTTTAACTGTTAAATAAAAAAAATAGTTTGTTATCTGGATGTAGCCTGTTTGCATGTAGATGATGCTATTATATTATTAGATCATATGAGAAATAAAAAACTAAATCAAAGTATCCTTCTTATTCAATGAAATATATATATATATATATATATATATATATATATATATATATATATATATACCAGGTGTACACAGCAAAATTGCCCATTTGTTTGATTAAATTTTAACAGTTGTATCTTTATAAATGATTAAATATAGCTTACTGGAATTCTCCAAGGTTTTTATAACACTATTGGATTATACTTTGAACAGTAAAAATGTATAATTACTCTCCAAGCTTAACAGAAGAATCGTGCTGAAATCGATCAGAAAGGAAAATGACATGTTCAATATTAATTAATCATAGCTAAGGATCGGAAGCCCATAAAGGGTTGAAATTAAGTTCAGATATATAATATTATATGAGAAGATTACTTAACTAATGTGTGTATATATTTGTTTGTGGGCTTATGTGTGTGTGTATATATATATATATATATATATATATATGTGTGTGTGTGTGTGTGTGTATAAATATATGTGTGTGTGTGTATAAGTGTATAAATATATGTGTGTGTGTGTATAAATGTATGTCTATATGTGTGTGTATAAATGTATGTCTATATGTGTGTGTATAAATGTATGTCTGTGTGTGTGTATAATTGTATGTCTATATATGTGTGTATAAATGTATGTCTGTGTGTGTGTATAAATGTATGTCTATATGTCTGTGTGTATATATGTATATACTTGCATGGAGTATTGCTGCCATATATGGTCTGGAGCCCCTTCTGTTTGTCTCGGGGTTCTTGATAAGATCCAGAGACGGATATGCAATATAACTGGACCTGATCTGGCATCTCGTCTGCAGTCGCTTTCTCACAGATGTGCCGTTGCCTCTCTCTGTCTTTTTGACAAATACTTTCATGGTAATTGCTCCGATGAGCTGCTTCCGCTGGTTGCAAGACTTCGCGAATTCAAGCGTCCTACGAGGCTGGCATCCGGCTCTCACCCTTTCATTGTCGAAACTTTTAAATGTGTCCGTCTCTTCTACTCCATTAGCTTCATGTCTCGCACCTCTCGCCTGTGGAACTCCAGTTGCCTTGATCTACCCACTATCCTTCTCCTCATCCTCTGGTCTATCACTCCTATCTGCTCTCGCACCAAATCCTCTGTAACCCCTTGCGTGCTAGTGGCTCCCCACCTTGCTAGGGGTGACATGCTTAAAAGAAAATCTCGAGAAACAAACACAATGCTTGTAAAACCCTAATCCTAAGCAGCGGGGGTGCGAAAGTGTAATAGCTCCCGTATTGCGAACTCGGCAGCGTCATTGTTTCGCGGGTTTTTTTTTTTTTTTTTTTTTTTGTGTCTTTGTTTTGTTTTTTGTTTTTTTTTTTACTAATATGAACCAAAGCTTTTAGTGTTGAGTTAATAAAGGGAAATAACTGAAAGTGAGATATCCAGAAACATATCTCAGAAATATAGACTGATATCCTGTGAGTGTCAAATTCTCCAAGCCTTCTTTCCTCATTATGTGCCTCAGAAAGTTCGACTGTTTACTTCTGATACTAATTACAAGTGTACTTTTTTTATAATCTAGCAGTATTAAAATAGTATCATTTATACTTTTTTTGCATATACGTAATTAATTCGAAAATAAAAAAAAAACTACCATTTAAAACGTAAATGGTCTCGTTTTTACCAATTTGACGTCAAGATTTCTGTACCCTTTCCCGCCGTTTAAGGTTTAAGAATCACTCAACCCAAATTGACTTCGTTGTCAAAAGAAACTAACGTCAACTACTCGGTCTGATTTTGTTATCTCCTTGTATGTATTTGATCAGACAACTTATGATAAGAACTAAGCCTGATTTCATGTAGGTTCTTCCTAAAAAGATTATGCATAACTTATTGATCGGCGTTAATCTTTTCTGCAGATAATAACTGATTGGCCAAGCTTCTTGGACAGTGTAATAGCTCAACTTTGGTAGAACTGACTCAGACCCTTTTCCTACTGACCTATGTTCATTTGACTCCGTTCGAGATCGTCTTTATCCTTTGGTCAATCAATATTTAGTCATTTTGGAATAAGATAGAGGAAATATATCTTATTGAATATCCTGCTCCGTAATCGTGTTGAGCCTTTAATCCGCTTACAAAAATAAAGAACAAGTTTGAAAGGATAAAAATGTTTTAACTATACAGTCTTCAAGGTGGGTAAATCGGACAAGGTAAATATATATTGTATTTTTTTTTTATGTTTGACGCGTTGGTTTGAAATAATAAGCTTTTGATGAACGGTCGGATGACTGTTTCCATTTTTAGTACTATAACTTTCCATATTCATACGCCTGTTGAGTCTTTATATTAGGGGTTCTCAAATTTATTTTGACTGTCGACCCCGAAGTCATACCAGATAATTTTAATGCTCCCTTCCATGAATTTTAAAACCAACAAACAAGGAAGATGAAACCTAATAATCATATAAACAGTGTAATGCATAATAATAATTATAAGAAAGGAGTTACATTAGTTTCATATTATAATAATAGTAATAACGAAATAAAGATGGTACCTTAAGGGTTTGATATTCATTAATTAATAATTTTGCTCTGTCTCTGATATAAAGCTCTCCTTGGATCTTTATCCTCTTGGAAATTCCATACGGATTACCATTTTGTTTTATTATATATATATATATATATATATATATATATATATATATATATATATATATATATATATATATATATATACACTATTCATGATTTAAATAGACTGAGACTCCTTATTTGAGAGTCACGACCATTTTGTTGACATATATATATATATATATATATATATATATATATATATATATATATATATATACACATACTTACTATTCATTCGCGATTTAAATAGACTGAGACTCCTTATTTGAGAGATACGACCATTTTGTTGACATATATATATATATATATATATATATATATATATATATATATATATATATATATATATATATATATATATGTGTGTGTGTGAGAGAGAGAGAGAGAGATATTAACGGTTAATGAGATGGATGGGCTAGGTGATGATTTATTAGTTTGTTGATGCCTGGTACTACTTTTAGCAGTTTTCTCGTTAAATAATATTAGGACTATTTCTGTCTTTAATTAAAAGACGAAAAACTGCATTCATATTTATTCTATCAAATATGATGTTGGTAATGATACCGACAATTTTAGCACAGATGTCTATAGGGTGGGATATCGATGCGGACTTTTTAGTTGCAGCCAAAGTTTTGTATAAGCGATTTTAAATCTCGGTTTTAATTCGATATCATCTTGCAATTCGACAAGTTCTTCTTCAATCTCACTGTCGGTAATATCATCAGTACTTAATAAATGGGCCAGGAACTTGCATTGATAATAAGTCTTCAAAACTCTCCAACATGACGCATTATAATTTATGTCGTTCTATATTACGCTTAAAAAAAAAGAAACAATTTTGAAATGCATTCTCACCTATTCTGGGAAATACTGAAATTTCCGCTGCTTTTCTATAATAACAATGGCCCATATATTAATTCTATCACTCTGGAATTGCTCATCTTTGCTCCACTAACTGCTTTGAAATTGACTGATTTTTTTTTTTTTTGGTGGGGAGGGGGTACGGTGTATCAATCCTTTGCGGATTATTTTGTATTTTAAGAATATGTCTTTTTTGCGAGTGAATATTACATTAGCATTTGGAGGGGGGGGCTAATAATGCATTCCCATGTACTACTATTTAACCCATAGCTGGAGGTAGAGGGAGAATTAATATTTTTGCCCAAGGGTGTTTTCACGTAAGTGAATATAACGAATCCGAACTTGGCTGTCCGATTTCTCATTCTGAGCATTCTCTATACA